TGTGTGTCTCTCTCTCTCTCTCTCTCTATCTCTCTCCCACATTCTCTTTTTCTATTTTATTCTGTTTTTCGTTCTTTATCATATTCTCTTTGTATCGCTTCATACCTATATTTGTCAGTCTGTCCGTTTCTCTCCATCTTTCTCTTCTCTTTCTCGTGCTCTATCACTACTATCTATCTCTCCCTATATTTCACTCTTTCTGTTTGTCCTACCCCCTGTCTATCCAGTATGTCGGTACTTCTCGCCAACACCTTTTGTTACTACATCATGGTTTAGCTCTCTACCCCCCCAACCGCCCTCATCCTTTCACATCTCACTCCTTCACATATCGGTTTGTATCTTTCACTTCTGCCTTCTCTCTATCTCCCTTCTTTTTTGTGAGTCTGTCTGTGTGTCTATCTGTCTGTCTGTCTGTCTGTCTGTCTGTCTGTCTGTCTGTCTGTCTGTCTGTCTGTCTGTGTGTATGTGTTTGTCTGGTTCTTGTCCATATTTCAGAAACTTATACTTATTCTTTCCAAAAGAAAATAATTGTGCTCTTGAAGCAAAAGTCTGCCTCGTCTCGTACATCCTTTACAGTAAAGCCCTCCTCTAGTCTTTTCAGAAAAAAAACCCAAGTTCATTGTGGTTTAAACGTACCAAATGCAATCTGACAAGACTCATCCACATTTTAAGCTATGGTGAGGATTTTGTCCCTGTTCATAACAAAGGGGGGAAAGCAGGCACAAAGACTCCGGAAATAATGATTTAAAAAAAAGTGAACCAGAAAGACAGGAAGCGCAATAGCTTGTAAGAGTCCCAGGGCTACAAAAGACAAAAGATGTTGGATACGAAAGAATAGAGGGGGAAAGCCACAACACCCAAAAAAATAAAATAAAAATAAAACGTGGGGGTGAGGGGTGGGGGAGGGCAGACAAAAGGTTAGAAATGGATTAAGAAGGGGGCAGAGAGCGATAGAAATAGAGAGAGAGAGAGAGAGAGAGAGAGAGAGAGAGAGAGAGAGAGAGAGAGAGAGAGAGAGAGAGAGAGAGCACACTGCAACGAGAATGTATTCTCTTTGTCCTGTTACCACCGCCAGATTCGCTCAGGAACATCTTTAACTGACGACCACGCCTTTCATACTTCTGCTGTCTGTTTACGATGCTAGAAACTACTTCACAGCTGTGTGAACCACATAATGTGTGCACTAAGGAGGTTTTTCGTTGGATGTCCTGTTGGGTTAGCGTTAAGTATTTAGAGAAAAGTAGTGTCAAATAATATTCTAATAAGCTATTTTATTGTGTTAGTGTTTCTGCAAAGACAGTTGTGCAACAGCTTGTTGTTGTTTGTTTGAGTAAAGAGAAACACGTCGAAACAATACGTTCATTTAATGCAGTGGAATAAATAAGACCGACAGATAGATAGAATTTGAAAGGACAGGAGTAGAGTTTATGAGTGGCGCCTTACAGCCTCCCACATGCAACAGCGGTTGTTCCAAATGACCCAAAAGTAGAGATGCACTTATATAAGTAATGGCGGATTTATAAAATAACGAAGTATCAGATTCAGTGCCCGTAATCCCTGGA